TACATCTAAGGCAAAGTGAAAACAGGAAGTTCCTATGGCTGCGTAAAAATAAAGGAAAACCTGTATTTGCCATTTTTAGGATTTTGCAGCAACATAATACCCACAGAAGACTTTGAACCTGGATCATAGCTTCTCACACCACTTAGAAACAATCATAAAAGAAACTGCTGGAAGTATGTTGCACATCTATGTGGACCATGGCAAATCTCATGCCATGGATGAAATATCATATTATTCTAAATTGTAACACATGTAATCCAACTTTCCTCTAGGACCTCAAGGCTGTTTTTATGATGATCTCTATTCATTTTGTCCCATAACAAGAATACTGTGAGGTAAGTTGGGTTGAGAGAAAATGATTGGTCCAAAGTCATCCAGTAAGTTTACATGGAATGAGTGGACTTGTACTAGGATCTTCCAGGTTCTAGCTATCCCTTAACTGTTATAGTACTCTATAGTTATGGGATAACCATTAGTCTACAACATCCTTTCTTATGAGGTCACTTGGCCAATCCAATATATAACAGTTACATTATTAGCCAAATATAGAGAAATAAATTGCCAGATGCCACATTATTGCCTGTATCTGCTATACAGATGCTAATTATTGCCTGTATCTGCTATATGTATAGCAGATACAGGCAATAATTTTCTCAATACAGTTTAAGCTGAGGTTGGTATACATCACTTAGACCACATCCTCAATATATTTGTCCAGATCTCTTATAGCACTCAGGGTCTGTTGTCTGAATGTTACATTTAAATAAGAGTCTATATGCTTCAACCTAAATACATATGTGTGTATGCACAAACGCGCATGCGCACATACGCACACACACACATAGGCCAGCACTATTTAAAACAAATGTCTAACATACATAAACATATTTCACTGGGAATAAAGCTGATATTCCATAAGCTGTTGGTACAGATGGCATTATTTTGGTTATCTTCCATGTTACAGATGTGTCCATAGAGCTTTTATAACATCTCTCAATGTGTCATAATTCTTCCATTTTTGATCCAATAAAACATCTGAATTTGACAATCAAGTGAAATTATATTTAACCCAAATGTAGAAATGCAGGATCAGATTTTTATACACATCAATATACTCCACTTAACAAAAAAACATGGATAACATCAATAAAATATTTTAATAACTATAGCTTGACTGTTGCAAGTATTTATTCAACAATATTACAATATTGCTCTTAATTTTAATGTATTTACTTAAGCTATTAACACTACTTGTATGACTTTGAAATGCTTATTTATTTTTTCAATCACAACTACTTCTTTACAGATATTGCTTTGTAATGTAGTCGATTTTATTCTACTTTTCAATTTTTAAAAAAATACCAGAAAGAAATGAATACACCTTGTAAAAAATTAAAGCCATTCCAGGTAATTAATTAAGGGCTTAAACTGTTTCCTCATTACTTTTTTTTTACCTTTCACATTATTTCAAAACTATTAGTAGAAGCCCATGAATATATCATTAAACAAAAAATTTAAAAAATCCAGTTCTGATGCTGTGGCAGCAAACAGAGGAAAATTTCATTCTGACAGCACAATAAGAATGTGAGCATGCTATCCTAACTCTTTTGAATAAATGGCTTCAGGACTGAAGCATTAGTTGTTTAACACTTCTAAAATAATTGTGCAGTCAAATAACAGGCTTTTCTTTTATAAAGACTGCTTGGTATGTAGATTTTTTAAAAAAATATTTTATAAATATATCTGATTTTTAAATTCTATTGCGTCTTTCTTGATATTTCATGATTATAAGAGATCATCACAAGACTCTCTTCAGTTCTCCAAAATATGTCTTCTTTGGGGCACAGCTAACCTATCGGACTAACAGACTACAAAACTACATGTTAGAAATAATATTAGATTTCCAGAAATTATTCAATAGCCATTTTTCAATAATTAATATAAAATAGGTTTCCATGAAGTTATACAAACTTATTTGGACAGATTAGCCAATTAACTATATTGAAATTCCATAGGCATCTTAAGTCTTAAACAAAGAAACAAAACTCCTTTTTCATATGAAAATATAAAATGTTTTTCAATAATCTGAAAGCATTAGCTTTTACAAAATATTGGACCTTACAATCAATTATCATTACTATCTTAAATATCAGGGGGCTGAATACAAAATTTGTTAATGGATAATTTCACATTAAAAACTCAATTCTTTTATTGTTGATCTGTTTTTCAGGAATTTCTTGAAAGTTTAGAAACAGAATCTATAAAACAGTCTTTTACCATATTGCTTTTTTCTCAGATCACAATTTTTCTTAAAAAGTTGTACTATAGAGACTAATGGATATAATAATGAGAATTATAATTAAAATTCAATATAGAGTAAAAAAGAAAAATAAACATTAAAATCCCTTTTCTCATTTTAAAAATGTATTATTTGAATATCAAAATGCATGATACTTTTAGAGGGATATAATTACCTACCTGTCTTGTGTAGGAGTTATCCCTAAAATTCAACATTTTCCAGTAAGTTAGAACAAACAGTCAACAGTGATATGTCTGGTACCTTCTATTTTGTAGAAAGATTGGCCCAGATAGTTGTAGGAACAACCAACTTAGCATAGAACTGTCTACTTTCAACATATGTAACTGGTTCAAGTCATGAACTTGCAAAAATATCTGTATTCTCTTTTCGTAGGAAAATCAGTTTATACCATATCAAACACTAAAGAGATGTACTAAAACAATATTGTTATTAAAGTAAGGACAGCAGTATTATTGGTTGGCACTTGCACATAGCTCTGAACATCCAACAGACATAATCATTTTTTCAACAGTTATGACAGACCGTCAAGAAAATTATATAGCTAGGCAGTGAGGTATAGCTATATCTGAATAACACAAGAGCTAATTAAAGCCGGATTTGAAGACTTCCAGTAATAGAAACACTGAACATAATTCACAGCTATGCATAAGATCACACAAACCACAGAGGGAACCAGAGCGAGCTTTTCTTCAATTCTGTTTTTCTTACATAGGCAAACTCTGGAACACTTTTTGCACCTATGAACCTCCTGACTTAAGTATAAAGGGAGAAAAGAATTTTGAGGAACTACAGTCTTGCATTTAGAGTATTTCATTAATCTAGAATACTTCAATAGAAATAAGTGTACATTTTTAAAAACCCAACATTTAGTTACAGGAAGACCAAGTTAGTGCACAAAGAGCAAGCTCTTTGCAATAGAGGAAAAGCGAAGTCCTAGTCCTACTTCCGCTCCTGATCAAAGGACACACAACATGGGAGCCAGATGTCTTCAATTTCTGCAATAGGTTTTTACAGTTCAAGCTTTGTGTGGAAAGTAAAACAGTCTGAGGTTACTCATTCCTTCCAGCTATGTCTTGTTTCGCAACCCAGTAACAAAATTAGGAGGTTGTGCACTGCAAACATATACACATGTCATTTAAGCTTGTTGCTTAGTGGCAGAGGACCTCCAGGACAGAGAAGAAAGGCAGAGCAGAGAGGTGGTTGCTGAAATAAAAAGCTGCCCGGTTCATTTTATGTACAAGAAAAGTTATGCCTTGACCCAATATTGCTGTCATCAATCGGTAGATGCTAAATCCCGGTAGAAGGGAAGGGAAAGAAACAAAGCACACATGCTGCCCTCCCTTTTGCTGTCCACAAGTTGTCACAAACGTCAACTTCTAGAGGAGCCAAATTTGCTTTCCCAAACAGTCCTTATCAACTTCTGGAAGAGCCACATTTGCTTTCGATGCAACTCCGGAGATGCATCCCCTTTCTGCACCTCCGGCCCTGTTATCAATTGCTGTCAAAGGGCTTGGACACACACAGTCCGGCGTCTGTGCAAGCTGGCCAAGTCCAGCGGGCGCCTCGGTGCTTTCCGAGCAACGGAGCCCTTCTGCTCCACTGCCGGCCGCTCGCCAGAAGCCCACCCAGCAGAGAGCGTACAGTGGTAAATAAACATCCATTCTCCTGGCCAATCCTACCCGGACGGAGCGTCTCGAAAAGAAAAGGAATTCGGAATTGGTCAGCCTCCCCTGCCACCGCCCTCAAGCCGCTGGCCACCAGCCGAAAGTTTGTAAAGCTCTGGATTTTAAACCGCCCTTAAAGCTCGCCTTACGATCTCCCGGCTTCGGAGTCTTCGGTCTACGCCTCCCCCAGGCTGGCTCAAACGTGCCAGACGCGATCCAAGTCTCTCCCCCTTCCTTTTGCACTTTTGCACCAGGCAGCCAGACCTAACGGGCTCCCCTCCCGCCGCGCCTGGAACTTCCCTGCTCGCTTCCAGGCGTCTCTCCCCCTCCTTCCCCCAGCTATATTTTTTTTTCATGCTGGCAGCCGCTCCAGAGGTCACACCCCGACAAGGGAAAGCACAATTTCCAATACCCGACGGTAGCCCACCCGTGAGAGGCTCCCCATCCACACACCTTGCTCCAAGAGCCCAGGCTTCGGGGTTTGTTTTTTGCTCGCCCCGGGAAGAGAGGGGGGAGGAGGCTGTGGGTGCCTTACCTGTGACCGTTTCTGCTCTCGTTGCCAGGAAAAGTCCAGCCAAAGTCAGGAGGCAAGTTTTAACTTTCCCCATATTTCCTTTCCTCGTAGAAAGAGCTCTCTCCGGCCCTCCCAGGTCGCGGGAGAGGCTAGAATAGGCGCCACAGCCGCCTCCGTGGCCCCTTCTGGACGGCGCCCGCCTTTTGCAGAGGGGGCTGCAAGAGCCGCTCCGTTTAATCCTCGCGCCGCCGAGCAGTCCCGCCACCGGCCGGGCAACTCCACTCAGCCTGCGCTTCCTGTTGCGCCTCTCCAGCCCGGCAGCCTCTCAGCCAAGCGCGCCGCGCCGTCTTCGCAACCAACTCGCTTCTCGCAGCTCTCGAGTCCCCGCACTGACTCGCGGTCCCCCCGGCAGGCAGGCGAGCAGGCAGCGGAGAGCGAGCTTGCCAAGTCACGCCCAGCCGCCGACAGCGCCGCCTTCCCCCGCTAGAGGGCGAATGGCGGCGACAGCAAGCGAGCAATCCCCGGCAGCCGCCGGCCTGGCTGGCGATTCGGAAAAAGACGCTGCTGTTTCTGGCGGCGGAAGGCGAGGAGGGAGGCAAGACCTACCGTAACGGGACGGGCGTGCTCGCCAAATGCCGCTCCTCTCAGTAAGCGCTTCGGTAAGAAGAGCGGACTCGAGCAAAGAAAAAACTGCGAGCGAGGGAGACAAGAAGAGGCGATGAAATAGGAACTGCCCATAGAAATAGCAGGAAAGAGGGAGTCCCGTGCCTAGAATAAACTAAAGCAAGTTTGTGTTATGCCGCAGCGTAGCCGGACAGATCAGTCACAGTCTTCCTACCTTAGAGACAATAGCTGACATTATTTCAAGATTTCGTTTTGTGGGTCTGGTGCAACTCACGTCACCGCTGACCTTTTTACTGTTGCAGTGTTTTCAAGACACTTGGAAATGCAAACAACAAAACAAAATGATTCGGCCTCTTTTACAGTGTTGACCTCAGGAGACTGAAAATGGTGGGAATACATCAATACAGAACTTGGAACAGCTGTGTTAACTCTGCGGTTGTTGCAGGCCCTTTTTGTGGCCGCCTTTAAAAGGAAACGTTCCCTTTGCAAGCTCAGAATATATCTTGTGGGTCCATATTTTTGTTTAAAGCAGCAGCTTTCTCCTGAGTGTCCGGCCTATTAATTTATTAAGCAAAATGTCAAGGGTAAGTTTGTTTGGGGTTTTGTTTTGTTTTTTGCAAGAATTAGCTACAGTCAGAACAAGTCCATCTCAATTTGTCTATGCTTTTGCTTGATAAAGGCATTGTTGGAATTGGCAGTTAGCTAACACCTAGTTTGTCACTTACCAAAAGATTTCACTTAAAATACCAAAAGCTAAAGAGGCTGACCACAAATACTTCAACTATAGGAAGTGTTAGTTTAGCTGGCAGATTGTGGATTTGCAGTTGTGAAGAATTTTGCCAGTAGGTCCAAACTGGAACAAGGAAAGGTAATGCTGCATTTTGCTTAGGGGATAGTCAATTTCCTCCTCAAAGGTCCAGAATTAAAAAGTTCCCCCTTAACATATTAAAAACATACCCAGATGGCTAATTAAGCACACTCAATGCTTATTATGGGGTGTTAGTGTCAGATTACAGATTAACAGATTGACTGAGTTGGAAGGGACCTTGGAGGTCTTCTAGTCCAACCACCTACTCTGGCAGGAAACCCAAACCATTTCAGACAGAAAGCTGTGGTTGTCCAGCTTTTCTTCAAAACCTCCAGTGTTGGAGTACTCTTCTAGAGGCCAGTTTTATTTATTGTTCTGTAAGGTAAATGTCTCCTTAGTTCTATGTTGGTTCTTTGATTAGTTTCTATCCATTCCTTTTTGTCCTGCCTTCAGATGTTTTGGAGAAAGGGTTGACCCTTTCTTCTTTGTGGCAGCTCCTTAGCTATCGTGTTCTTTTCATTAAACTAGACGTACCCAATTCCTCCAATGTTCGTCATGTTTTTTAGCCTCCAGTCCCCTAATCGTCTTTGTTGCTCTTCTATGTCCTCTTTCTAGGCTCTCAACATCTCTTCAATAAATCAGGAACAAGTAACAAAATACAAGGAAATTCTGATGTGTACATGTGATTTTATGATATAAAAACAATTTATCTGACATTTATTTAAGCACTGATGATGTTACCTAGTTTGGGTAATGAAACGTCTGCAAGAAAACAAGCTCAGAAAGCATCAAGCACCCCTCATTTATTTAAATTCATTCATGAACGCATACACCTTTGCAAAAGTGGTATGCCTTAAAATTTGTAAGGATTATGAAGATGGTTCAGGACATAACTGGAAAAAGTGTTTGCCAGCTCCAAGGAGAAAGTGCTAGTGAGTCATTTCCAAAAATGTTCCCAGGAAACGGCATGAACTTCTTCATTAATCAACACAAGGCAGGGTTGACTAAATGAACCATAACAATCACAGACTTCCATATATGTGAACTATGGGAAATTAAACTACAGTATGCAGTTTTAGTTTTTTCCTTTGAGAAAGTCTGGACTCCAGGCAACTGTCTGGACTAGTCCCTATACTTTTCAGAAGATCTTGCCATTGCCTACTTCCTAGGACTGAGGGAACGTCACCAGCCTAAAGTCACCCAGATGGCCTCATGCTTGAGGTTGGATTAAAACTCCCAGTTTTTAGCCTACTACCTTAACCACTATACCAAACTGGCTCTGTTAGGGTATGTAGTGCAAATTTCTAAATTTCAGTAGAAACATCCACCAGTAAAATGTTTATTTTTTAAAAAAAACAAAAAGGCAAGACCAAATTTGTATGAAATAAATTCAATCCAAACTCTGAACTATAGTCCAGAGTCACATTTTCTTGTTTATAACCAGAAATAAAGATACATAATGAAGCCCTTGGTGCTATACAGAGATTTAATATAATCTTTGAAATAACCTTGTTCTCTCTCCAGGACTAAGTAAACCTCAACCTCATCAACACCAGCCCAGACTTCGAACTTCCCCCATCTGTAAGAAACTGTTTATTTCTTCTTTCTCAACCTGATCCTTTCCAGATAGCTCAGTCTTTATGGCTGGGAATTCTGGGAATGAAAATACCCATCTATCTGGATGACATCAAATGAAGACAATGCAGAAAGGCCGTTTGTTTTCCAGGGAAAGTAGGTAATGTACAACTATGGTTTGTAAGGAGAGATTGTCAAATGATAATTAATAACTAATACTATCTCAGCCGCTCTGTGATAGCCGTCCTGCAGTAGTAACTGGAGAAAAGTTGGGGGGGAGTAGCTAAGTACAAAGTGTCCTATGCTCTGCTGCTTGTGAAGAAGCAAATGTTATGAATGGCTGCATTTGCACTTTGTGCTCTTGAGCCTAGAATAGAATAACAGTTGGAAGGGACCATGGAGGTCTTCTAGTCCAATCCCCTTCTCAGGTAGGAAACCCTATACGATTTCAGATAAATGGTTGTCCAATCTCTTCTTGAAAACTCCCAGTGTTGAAGAAATCACAACTTCTGGTGGGGAGCCTGAACCTTGCAGAAAGAAAGTTTAGTCATGGGAACCATTTCATCTTTCCCTATAGACACTGGAAGGTGGAATCTCATGTGATAGCAATATGACAGTCACGGATGAAACCAAAACAGTAGGTAGGTAGGTAGGTAGGTAGGTAGGTAGGTAGGTAGGTAGGTAGGTAGGTAGGTAGGATGTTAGCCAAACATAGGGAGTCCTATTTACATTTTTTCCTCTTTTCAGTACTCCTGCTTTCTCTCTTTCTACATCCTACATAGCAGGTTGTCAGGGATTAGACACATAGCTTTTACCGGAGCTCTGAGTTGCTTGCTTGCAGAGGCTTCTGAAATAAGGCTGAGGGGGCATATGGCTTTAGGCCTGTAAATTCCTATCTCGGCTTTGAAAATCTAAGGATTGTTCCTCAGGCTAAGTGGTAAAATTCTACAAATGAAGTACAGCTGTGCACAAAAGGATAATCAAATGCCTTCTTTTTCTTCCTCACTTAGGGATCAGTTTCTCTCCTGGATTACTCAGTGGTACGGTAAATGTGAGTAGGTAGAGCACCAATGCCCAGTCCTTGCTCCACAGAATATAAAAAGTTGAAAAAGATGACCTTCTTTGGTTTACTGCATCTCTAAGTAGCATCGTAGGGAGAATATGGTTGATTTAACTCAATCCCCACCTTTGTGCTGTTCAAAGAAAAATAAGGAATCAGATGAAAACATTGCTGTTCCTCTGGTGATCAATCCTTAGATCATATGCAGAAATGCAAGGTGTATTGGTTAAGTTGTTGCTGGGACTGACATGAGAAACACCTGGCTTCAAGTCTACTCCTAACCATAGAAGCTCAGCCCAAATCTCACAAAGTTATTATGGCTAAAAATGGGAGGAGAGAATGCTGCATCTGTCTCATTGAGTTTCTGAATGAAAGGTGAGATATAAATCTAACAAAATAATCTTACAAGCAAGTGCTGCACCATTAACTTTATATGTCTCTCCCTATAATCAAAATCTGTAGCACCATCTTCAATGAAAAACTGATGATACAGTATTACCCTTCCAACCACCACCACCCCCACCTGATATATAACATGTGGCTCAATACTTATGCTATACTGTATTCTCAAATCTGAAACTATCTTTTTCCCAATTTTGGGTGCTCTCAGGATAAGTTATACATTTAACACACAACCTAGTTGCTTATGGGTTACCTTCACAAATTATATATATATATATATATATATATATATA